TTATGCAAAACCATTCCTCCTTTTCATACTTATGAACACTTATTTATTAAACGTTATTTTTTAGTTTTTCAAACTTTTAGCAAGATTTTATGGGAGTTTAAGACCAATAATGACAATAAAAGTTAATTTATGTTAATTTTAATTGAATTACAGTACTTTTGGCTGACTGAGTGCATTCATTCACACAGGGGTATGCAAGATATAAACTGCTACTACTAATGAAATACAAACAACACAAGAGTAAAGGTGTCGATTACGCTGTCGTCAGTAGTATTTCTCTTTGCGTCTTCGTTCATCCGTCTCTCCTTTATTCTCGCAGGGCTCCAGGTTTTGGGGTAGGGGTGTTGCCCGGGCCTCTAAACGCCGTTCTACCAAACGTCTGAGCCTGGCACGATCCCTGGATGACCTCGAGGTAGGCACCATGTTTTTCTCTTCTTTACTGGTTTCATTTCTTTTATTTCTACTTTCTTTTTTTGTTTTCTTTCACTTATTTGAATCTGACAGCGGCCTCTGTTTGGCGGTGTTGGCATGACTCGAGTTAAAGGATGAATTGCTTGATTTGTCCTAATAGAAATCAGAATCCCCTTGTTTCTTAGAAGTTTTTAAATTTGATTTACGTTGCTCCTCTTGAACAAAAGTTGCTTCAAAATGGAAACCCACGAGGGATCTGCTGGGCCTGTTTGCAGAACATGCTTCACTGATGTGGACGTTCAGTCTCATTCTGCTCCACTCTCAGCTCTTTTTTAACCTTTCATTTCCGTTGCCTTGAACTCAGCGTTTGCTGCTACACTTGTGGCACGAGGGGGGCTCACAAAGTGGTCTTTGTGTGGGCCAGAGCCACGGTCCTGTTTGTTTGGCCTCGCTAATGAGCTCTGCTGCACGACTGAAGATCGTGCTCACATTTTCTCATATTAATGTAGCTGAGGAACTCTCTCTCTTCAGTGGTCTCTGCATGCATGCATTACTCATGCACACTGAATCATATTGACAAAAACACACGGGCCCATAATTACTCTGAAAGCACACGAACAGACAAAAACAAGTCAAAGAGGGGCATACTGTATTGTATATATATTAGTCACAGACACACCCTGAGACCACAACATTGTGGTCAAAGGGCCACACCACAGATCTCCTCAGGATTGTCCCAACACACACTGAGAGCGTCTGCTCTACATTTGAAGATGGCTATAAAAGGCTTAGACAGCTGCACAGTTTCTGCCTGCGTAGTGCTACTTTTATGTCTTCTTACATTGTTTCTGTACTGTAACCAGTGTTACTCACATGTCTACAGGGTTACATAATCAGATTATAAAAAATAAGTAGCTATCATCAGATCAGATTGCATTTGAAATAATGTGTAACTAGTTACATTGATTAAATTTTTGTATAATTAAATATTAATTAATTAAAATATGGCATTTTTAAAAATTCGGAAACTTTTTCATGATAACCAATGCTCTGTTAAACGTTTGTAACAAGACACACTGCCCAGAATTATTCCTAAGAAAGAAACCTGAAGTAAGTAAGTAAGTAAAACTTTATTTATATATCACCTTTTTGATACAGAGATCCAAAGT